TCGCTCACCTTCTCACACACACGTTCAATCAGTGGTAAAAGATCGAGTTGGTCAGTAATAAGAGAACCAAAGTGGTATGGCATGCACACAAGTGAGAATCGCCGTCCGTGTGCGCTCGGCTGTTTGGGTTCTAGAAAAGTGCGGACATACTATGTTCCGTCTCATTTTCACTAAGCGTACTTTAAGGCAAGGCACATTCAGATTGCGCGCTTGTTGGATTTGACAACGTTACATGCTTTTCCAAGATTTATAGGTTTGGCAAAAGTACGTAATGAGTGCAACAGTTAAGAGGGTCCTGGAGTAAGACCCGAAGTCCGCACTGGGGTCTCTGCCCGGAAAGTGGCGCCCTCAGTGGTTAAGTTATTTCGTCCTTCTTTTAAAGTGAGACGGGCAATCGCGCTGTCTATCGCGTCACCGGTCTTTCGTCGGAAGGCTCGAGCCGGCCGGCACCGAAAACAGGATTCGACTGTGAACTGCCGCTGTGCGTGCATCTATCTAAGTTTGCTCCGATCTTATTCGCTCCGATCTGCTCTGCTTCTTTCCTTCTTTGCTCCCGAGTTTGTCTCTCGCCTGTTGAGCCTTCTGCCTTATTCTATCTGGCTTGCTTGCTTGCCTGCCTGTTAGCTGTGCATGCACGCTCTCTTTTCTTCACTTTACTGTGCGGTGGAGTGTTCTCGCGTGTGTAAACCAGCGCGTGTGTAGACTAGTGCTTTGCATGCCCACATGCTTGAGGATAGCAGCATGGATTATGATGACGCCCGGGAGATTTCTCTCCCGGGCGCGTCTTCTTCTCTCATGGAGGCCAGGCCATCGGATGCTCCGGACGGAACCACGCGGGACGAGAGTGAATTGCGGTCGCAGTCGCGTACGCCGCTCGCCTGTAAGAAGCAAAATCTGCCTATTCAGGTTAGCCCTGTTGGCAAAGGCGCTATTAAGAAAAAACATATAGAATCCGCCTTTGCGGATCTGGAGGCCCGTCAGGCCTCCAAATCGCCTAATAATCGCAGGCCATTATTAATTAATACTTCGCTCACGGGCGAAATTAATACAAAACAAAATAATAATTTAACACTAATGTAAGACCAATAGGCTGGGTGCCACGGGTGTAGGCGGCCAATAAACCAAAATGCAACTATTTAGTTGATAAACTTGGACGTTTCGATCATTTTATTTGATCATCCTCAGCAAGAGCTACATAATAAACAATAAAATAATATTAACAAAATTCATATAATAATAAGATATAACAAATTAGTTGTTTTGAAAGATTTTAAACAAATCAATACGCACCATAATTTACTATTAAACTTAAACTCGTTGTCACACGTCAACGGTGAAGAGAAGCAAAACAAGCCATGACAAAGACAGCAAAGGTTAATCGACTAAGCCGTCCTTGTATGGGAGGAATTCTTGAAAACATTCAAACAGAGACCATAACAATTATAACCAAAATGAAAAACAGTCATAGGATAAGAAGTATTTTTTGACTACAATGTTTTTAGTTACAAATAATTATTAACAATGACCAAAAATCTGTTGTGTTGTCGATAATCATTATAAATGAGCA